AACGTCCTGCATCCTGTTGCAACCGCACGGCGTTGGCATTTGGCGTTTAGTTGCGGCTATTGAATGTGCAAAAATTATTGTAAACTTTTCAGACAGACATCACACATCAATGGCCCAGTTGAGTATGAAAGCCGAGTGCCTGGCCAAGGGGGCAAGTTCACGGGCAGCAGCTAGGGGGGTGGGGTGGCAGTGTGTGGGTAGGGGGAGGAGATGGTGGCTTACCAACCATTCGCGTGGAAATCAATTAAAAATGCTTGTTGGCCAACTTTGTTTTATGAGGTTTTGTATATTTAATGGCCGAAGAGACAGAGCCTGGCATCAACAGAAAGGGAAAGAGTTAGAGCGGGAAAGACAGACAGAGTGAGAGAGGCAGGGAGAGAGAGAGAGAGAGAGAGAGAGAGAAAGAAAGAGGGGGAGGGCGAATGCAAGTGAGTGCTTACTTTCACTTTGCAACGAATGTGAGGTATTTTATATTGCACTGAATACTTTACTTATCAATGAATTGTAAATTGCGCTTCATAAATAGTTGATTCAAATGTATCTGGTTCATGTGGAATATATGGAATTTGATGGAAATAAATATATGTTTTTATGACTAAGTGAGGGTTAAATAAAATTGTGGAGTTGCCACCGGAAAATAAATGGCACATATGGCAGCATCAAATGGTCAAATGCGTTTCTTGAGGTTTGGGCTAACATGGACTTTGACAGGAACTTGCAATGTGGTTGATGAAAACTTGTTTATTTGATTAAAGAAAAGATAACACTTGCTAAATGTAAATGATTTGTCGCCTAATCACAGCCAGCCAAATTGCCCTTCAGTTTCAATTTCAATTAATTTTTATTGGTTTACTTAATCTGAGTTCTTCAGCTGTGGGTGGCAGCTGGTCGTCAATTGCCACACAGTCCGTAAATGCGAGTATAAATTTGTTTTCCTTTTGTTTTTTTTTTCTTTTCTTGTTTTCTTTATTTTGTGACAAGTTGGTTTTTGCAATTTCGCCTACGTTACTTGTGACCCTTTTTCGTTCGATTCCTTTTGTTGTGTTTGATTGGTTTCCAGCCCAAAAGAATGCAAAATTTATTGTGCTGGCAGAAACTACTTGATTGTTTTTCTTTTAGCTTTCAATTTACTTTACATCAATATGTGAGATATGAAATGTTAAATAAGTATTTGTTTATTTTTTGCCATGCCCAATTAAAATTTAATAAAGTGCATCACAAGGTATGTCCGGAAAAATATTTGGCTGTTCGTTTTCCACAAAAATTGAAAAGAAAATGTTTCGATCAGGTTTAGTTTCTGCTGCTATTAACTATCCTAGTGCTGATTTAGTGGTAAATATTTCAATTTATTTCGATCATATCGATCACCATATTAAGATCTTATAGTATTACATGTACTAGTATTCGCCGAGTTCTAGATGAAGTGAGGGAGCTGAGCTTAAGCTAGATTGTTGCGCTAATTTATATTTCTGTTTGGTAATTTAAAACTGATATTTTGGTTCATTGCCTTGTAAGCCTTGGCTTAGATGTTATATGTTGACACATGGAACAGAGTTTTCTTTTTAATTTCTGTTCGCCTTGTTAGATTGATTTTTAAGTGTTTAAATTCTAACAGGCCCTCATACTTTAGGCTTTTATTTTTGTGGCGGCGTGTGGTGCGGTGGTTGCATTTGCCCCACTGTCCGTTGACTGCGTAGACTTACAATGGCCTCATCAACTAACACACTGGCAAAAAAGTGGCGGCACCTCACATTGAAATTAAAAGTGAAGCACGGCCCAGTCAACACTTAACTCCGACATTCCCAACGTCATCTACATCCACATTCACATTCGCATCCTCATGCGATGGCGCGCCGCACTTCACTTGAAAGAAGCTTTTTTCGCCCCTTTTTTTGTTTAGGTTTTTTTTTGGTTCTGTGGCTGTTGCCACTTGATGCGCATTGTACAAAAAAAAAATGGAAGGAAAATGTAACATGAAAGAACGACTATCTTTGGTACAACGTTTAAGTACTTGATTTTATAGAAAAGTTTTTTTCCGACTGATTGTTTATAAATAGATAGAAGGGGCTGCAGATCGTAATTTGGCTGAGCTTGGTCAACTTATCTAAAAATGCAGAAAAATATTTCATGCAAAATATCACTGCTTAAGCGATTCTTTAGATATATTAGATATCTTGAAGAATAGAAAATAACCTTAATTTCCAGCCAAGTAATGCCACGTTTGCTTAAGAAATCTTGAGAAATAGAACATAACTTAATCTTCCAGCCGATCCATTCGCTTGTGCTACTGCTCCAAAATGCATTTATAAATGTTTAATAGGTATCTTGATGCGTTACACATTTCGTGACAAGTGTGTTATACTCGCTGGAAGTGTATACAATGTGGAGTTCCTAACTGTGTCCAAAATCCACTTTGACTTTGCGCTTAAACTTGCCCTTTGCTTTGTTTCTCGGCCATAATGCTTACTTTAAGGCGCTTTGGCGCCGTTGCATAAGCAACAAGCGAAAACCGCGCTGCAGAGACAGAAAAAACAAAATAGATGGGGAACGTTCAACAATGTTGCACTAATTGCGCCAGAGGAAGTGACTCCGCGTCGCCACTCGGCGCAACTCCTTTCACTTGCATTTCGTGCCGAGCCCCGCCCCGCAACGCCCCGCCTGCCCAGCCCCGCTCGCACCATTGCATTGAATTAAGCTAAATTATTTCTTTTGCCTGTTTTTGTGTTGCGCTATTTGGCGGACTGCCTGGCACCAACTGCATTTGGCTGAGCCCTCCTCCGGGCTGTACGCCGGAGTACTCCTCCTGGCTGCCTGACGCTTGCTGCCTGCTGCCTGTTGCCTATTTGCCTGCAGTCCTCTTCGTCCTGTCGCCTGTTACTTTGTAGTAAACGCTCGCGTCATAAAACCATTTCAAGTCCTTTGGCATTTTTGCGACAGCCGGCCAAAAACATTTATTTAATTGCAGTATTGTTGTTGCCATACCCCGTACCACATTCGCCATGTCCCTTTATCCAGTTACCACCCCGCACCCTGCTAACCCTCTCGGCCGGTTTATGTCTGGGAGCAAAATTGTCAGTTTGGCATTGTTTGCATTTAAACTAATTTCTTAAAAAGTAACAGTTTTTGTGCATTACGAGCACGTTCTCATACATAAATATTCGAAGCATATTCTTAAGTATTATTTATAATGCTTTCAACATGCCCCCAAATCGAGCAAATTGCAGCTAGAGACATAGTAAGACAAAGAAAGAAAGAGAGAGAAAAAAATGTTCATAAACTTCTAACTCTATTTGAATTATTGAACATTTTTCTCATCTGTATTTATTTTGTTTTTATGTTATTAAATTATATACGCGAGTTTTGTTGAATTTCACAAACATGCCAAACATAATACTTTAATTTTTTAAGGCTTTATTTCACTTCATAATAAAATAAATATTCCTTGTTTATTTTATTTTTGTTTAAATTCATTTATTTTATTTTATCAAATAAATAAAAAATTGAATTATTTAAATAAATAAAGGATTTATATTATTCCATGTTTCCGAAACTTTTTATAAAAAACATTGAAGATTTTGCTTTTATTTTTAAACTTAAAAAATTTTAATTTAATTATTTTATTTGTACATTTTTATGTTTCTAATTTCGCCATCTAACGCGCTTTTACTATTTTATAATGGATATATATATATATATATATCCATATATTATATGACGGACTTTGAGAAACTATCGCGAAATCTTTTTCAGGAACATGACTGCCTAATGCTTATTATGTCGAGACCTTATGCAAAAGCATTTTGTTTTCCAACAAGTGTAAATTTTATAATATATATTCTTGCATAAGTATATACTTGCGCATATGCATGTTATATTTGAGAATTCCATGAGCGTGTGCGTTTATTTGTATCTGTTTGCCTTGCTACGGCCTGGGATGGCGTCGGAACGCGTCGGGTCAAATTGGCTGCCCAATAACAATAAAATGCGAAAATATCAACTCGCCACGCTGCCGGCCTCTGCTTGTCCCAGTGCTTGACTCATTTTCCCTTTAGCCCTGCTCCGGTCTATGCTTCGCCGACAACTGCTTACATTTTATTGCTGTTAATAGAAAATGCTATGCACGGCTACGACTCCCTTCTATTGCCCTGGCGCCTTTCATTTTGCTTTCGTCACTGCGGTTTTAATATGACAATGGTTGCCATGAAGAGATACAGCAACAGCAACAACCAACGACAACAACAACAACAACAACAACAAGCGGACACCATTAGCTCGTCAGGCGCGTCGGTTTAAATGAGTACGTGCCGTGCCCATCTCCCATCAAGGCAACCCGCCCCCAGGCCCCAGCCCCCAGCACCCGTCAACTCTCCAGCCCATTCGTGGTCATCCCCCTAGGCATGGTGTATCCGATCCGGTCGCAGTTTCCCTTAGCGCTAATAAAATGCGTTAAGAAAAATAGTTGTAAAACGTTTGATGCATACTAAAATCAGTTGCAATTGATTTGGACGCGTTCCGCCAACAGACTGACCCCCGCGACCCCCCAACCCGCCGCGTTTGAGTTTTCAATGCGTTTCGCAGCTCATTACACGCAATGCTTTATACCCTCAATGTACCCGACCCTCGCCAGCCCTGCTGACAAAATGGACTTGTTAACTTGTTAGTCCGATAATCCGTAATAAACCAAAAAAAATTCAAGCACAAAGAGTTGCCCTTTGGAGTTGTCGAAGATTGAATACTCTTGTAAAACAGTTATGAGATCTTAGAGTCTTAGATAATCAATGTTTTTTTTTTCCCTTCGAACTTGACTTAAAATAGGTCTTGAAGCTAGCGCGTATTTCCACAAGCGGCAAATGGATGAAAGAGTTATGTTTCATATTAAGAACTTGTCCCGCGTGGCAAGGGCGGGCAACACTCGCTATTTGAATTCCAGTAAAAAGTCCACAACAATTTTCGTTTTTTTTTTTTCATTATGTATGCATGTATGTGTCTGTATATATGTAATTATATAAGTATGTATGTAAGTTAAGTATTAAACGCAGTCGAGATTTGCATTGAATTTTGTTTTAACTTTACCCAATGCGCTGTAACGTATTCTTTTCTCGTATTCTTTATCGCTCTTCTATGCAATTCTCATGAGTTCCAGTAAGAACTGCACTCTCTCTCGAGTTATTCTTTTATTTTGCTCTTACCCGTTCTCTTCATCTTTTGTTTTTTTTTTTTCAGTAATTTGGCCTCGCACCTACTGATAGATGTAAAAAATTGTGGATGTGAAGTTTGCGGTAAGTACATATTAAAATATGTTTGTTTATTGTTGTTCATATATGATATAAATGGGAATTTATATATACGGTCGATTTCCTAGTATTTTATTCGTAAATAAGAAACTTTCGCGGATATTTGTAAATTTGTAAGAATTAAATTAAATATATATGTTTGAGTTGGCTTGAAAACGTCCTTAATGACGTGAGTTAGACATAAATATATTCGGACAGACAGGTGGAAATATTCCTTAATGACCTGAGCAATCAGTCTATATCAAAGATAATTAAGCCGTATAAGATCAAGAGTCTTTAACCCAAAGTGGATGTCACACAATGCGGGCCGACTCTCTACGTGAGAAGTTTCTGTGCTCAGGCGAGCAGAGGGTGTGCTCCTGTCGTTATTGTTTTTCTTTTATGAGTTGGTTAAATCTTTATCCTTAAGTTGACCACCGTACCCAATGGCACAATTAAAATAATGGCAGCGGGCGGCGGGCATATCGCAACCATATCGCATGCCAGCATCGCACCCGCTGCCCCTCGTAAAGCTTGTCGCGAACTTAAAGTTCTTTGGCAGCATTTTAATTGCGCCCCACACTCCGAAGTTGTTGCAAAGTTGTTTTTACCGCAATTAATAGAGTGTCATATTTATGAGGAAGCCGAGCTTAAGGCGCATCACATGTGATTGTACTGTGTCAGAAGTGTCCCGAGCTCCGTAGTGTGCCTCCAGGTTTTTTCCTTGGGGTAATTGGCTGCTGTGCATTAAAGAAAAGTAAATTATTGATAGCTTATAGAGGGAGAACGCGTTGGCATCGTGGCTGCCAAGAAAAACGTAAATTCATTTTTAAATATGGCAAAACAATGGCCCGACTGAGATGCCCTTGCCACCCACGGCACGGCCGGAAAGGGACGTTGACGCCCTTCGGTAATGTTAGACGGGCAAAAGGACAGACAAGCTGACGTTTGGGCTTGTGTTCTGCGACGGCGTCAGCCATTTATGACGAAGCAATGTGCTTGTAATAGTACTCGTACTAATGAGCCACACACCCACACGCACACACACACACACACACACACACGCGCACACACTCAGTCAGACGCGCAGTCAAGGAGTGCGAAATTTGGAGCACAAAAACAGACACCCACAAGGCCAGACTCTGCGCACAGTGGCAAAAAACAATGTTAGCTTGCAGTGGAATATTTGGAATATTTGATCGATAATGATATATTTGTTGATATCGAAGCTTTGAATAAGTGCAGCCTTCAATGCGTATGAAAATTCAAAACTATGTTATTTATGTGTTCAAATTTAATTGGAAACTTAACTTATAAATCGGCTTATAAAATGAAGCATAACTAAAAAATATATTTTGTTTCACATTTTTAATATAATTTCGATTCTTTTTATACCCTGAACCCATTAAAAATGGGTATAAGGGTCTATTGTATTTGTGCAAAATCCAAATGTATGTAACAGGCGGAAGGAAGCATTTCCGACCCCATAAAGTATATATATTCTTGATCAGCATCAATAGTCGAATCGATCTAGCCATGTCCGTCTGTCTGTCTGTCCGTCTGTCTGTCTGTCCGTCCGTCCGTCCGTATGTATGAACGCAAGGATCTCAGAACCTATAAGAGCTAGAGACTTGAAAGACTGCGCAGATCGAGCTTGTTTCCGATAATCGATAACGTACTCCGTTTCCAAGCAATCGATAAAAATCGATATAGATATCCTGTTTTTCGTGCAATTTTGGTAAATAATAAGAGCTAGAGTCACCAAACTTGACATATAGCTTCTAAAATAGAATATATATATGCATTTGATGTTGGACGAAGAGGGTTCAGGGTATCCCCTAGTCGGGAGCTCCCGACTAGAACCTCTGTATTGTTAAGTTTCATTGAGCTTGAAAGCAAGCTACAGCCAACTTAACGAGCTGCAGACTAAAATTACGAGAGTTGAGTTACGTATTTGGCCCATGGTAAGTGGGTCGCCTACTTTATGGCATTGCATGGGCGAATGGTGGAATGGCAGTGGCTTTTGCGTATGAACATTGGAGCACATTCGTTTCAAATTATTTGCGCATTCGAGCAGCTGTAAACGATTACGTACACACGCATACCACCACCATCAACACACACACACACACAGGACGGGACGATACAAATACTTATCAGTCCTTATGTGCGGGTGTGTGCGTGTGTGTCTGTGCGGGTTGTTGCCAAAATGTTGCCAATTGCCTGGACCCCGTTTGTGTTGCACATGTCCAAAGTGGCGCCCTGCCTGGCACATTATTGAGCCGTCTATGCAACACATTGCCCCACACTTTGAGCTGCCCGTGGCCCCAGCTTGGCATTTTCTCTTATTTTATTTTTGTTTTATTTTTTGTTTTTGGCTGTTTGGTGCTTAAGTTCGACAACTCAATAAAATGTGCTTTATGGCAAAAAAAAAAAAAAAGAAACGAGAAAGAGAGTAAAAAAATGAAAACAAAAACAGAAGAAAAGCAAAAGGCAGACACGGCCACAACCCATTCCGTGGGCTAAAAGTAAATGTTTGTTGATACTCCGAAAGGTCCTTACGCTGACTTCCAGTCCACAGCAGCTGGTTCCACACGGGCTACCCCAGCTACGGCCCTGGCTTTGGCACCGGGTCTGGTTATGTTTTCTTTACCACTTGCTTGGGTACTGGAGCCCTGGCAATTGATTTGCCATAATTTAAGTTTCTCTTCGCCTTCTGCTTCTTCTTCTACATTTTTTTTCCACCCAAATGCCGCACGTTCTGGTGAGCCGATGCCAAGGCTACGGCGACGCTTTGTTTCTACTTACTTATAAATGAGGGAAATCGTTTTATGATAACGGCTACAACACGGCATTGCGCTGGGTCGAACGGGGCACGGGGCATCTGGTTTCATTTTTTATATTTGTATTCTTTTTCAATATTAAAGTACATGTACTACTTAGGTAAAGATTTCATTATTGAAATATGTTGGCATTGAGTGATTTTAGCTTGTTATTGCTGTGTTTTTTTTAGCAACATGTTTATGTTATATATTTATGTTTCATTTTAAATTTCACAAAATTAAATGTGCAAAATAATTAACTTTACATAGACTGCCAGAAAACAAAAAGTATTATGATGTCTGCCCTCAAAGAACAAACATTCAATCTCATATATATAAATTCTATTTTTAATTTTGTTAATAATATTAATTAAAAAATATTCAATTCATATTTACAACTAAACGCATGCGATTACAATTTCGGCTATCCTTGACTGCGTTTCGAACCCGGATCCACGTTGTAACATTATAATCCAAAATTTCAACTAAATATTCATACACAACGTTTTTCGTTGCATACTTTTAGGGGCACGCTATAATTCCCAACCTTAAAATACGCTGACAATTTTACGCTCAGTAGCTAGACGAACTATGTATGTGATATGGTTGGTGTCTCAGTTGAATTGATTGAATCATGTTAAATATTAATAATGAGAGATTATTCAATAATATTTGTTAATCGGTAGCAGCAAACTACATTGTACGACAAGCTTTAAACTAAACTTAATTCTTCAAAATAGTTATGTTTACTTCTTTTTGTTTGTGGCCAAACTGCGGAATCTCGCGTTGACAGAGCAGATGTCAAGCTGCAAACTATGCAAATGTTGTGGCGGCGATTCAAACCGAATGCTGCCCCCATCACCCGCCCCCTCCACACAGCCGGCGCAGTAAGCGGCTGAAGTTGAGGAGCGGCGCGTAATTAAGGATTCGCGCATACTTTGACGTGATAAGCGCCCAAACGCCGTTTCGGACACGTCTGTGTAAGCTCTGGTTAAGTCGTTCGCTTTCTCTCTCTCTCTCTTTCTCTATCTGTGTGTGTGTTTGTGTGTGAGAAACGCACAAAGGTGCGAAGGAAAGCTTGGCAACTTTTGCTACTTTCGCTTTGGCGATAAGAAAACTTGCAACGCGTTGTTGAACTTGCACTTAGCCGTCACGTTTGCGTTCACCTTCGCCAAATATATGGTATCTATATATGTATACATACATATATATGTATATATCTATATAGATATAGTTGAGCTGTTTGCCGATGTTTGGTGGCTTCGGGTGGTTCTTTGGTTGGTTTTGGACGTTGCGACGCGTCACTTAAAGTCAACTGCTCCGTCGGTGTTGGCAATTAATCAAAAGGTGCGTGATTATCGCATGCTGGCCAACAAGGATAAGACCTGTGTGTGTGTGTGTGTGTTTATGCGAGCATGTGTGAAAGTGTGTGAGAATGTGCTTGTGCGTGCGTTGTGCTGCTCAAGTGTAAAGAAAGCAAATATTAAAATATATTTTAATCTAGCAAATGCAATGGCCGTTGTCTCGCTCACTCAATAACACGCATATGTACACACACACGCACACGCACACACAGCATCTCTTTTTCTATGTGTGCTGCTGGTAAATAATAAATTTATCATTTGTCAGCAGTTAAATGCTTTGGCGTAGCGTGCAGAACGAGCGAGCGAGCGAGCACACGGAGGCCCCGGGCGACGAATTAATAATTCATTGCGTATACGACGCGTTGCCCACCAGACACAGCAAACTGTCATACGAATATGAGACACGCGCACAACACACACAGACACACACACATTGAGTCGCAATAAATCGTCAAGTTTATGTTTGAAGTGTTTATTGAATCCATGATATTCGACGCACTGCTCTGCCCGCACGTTCCGTTCCATCGAACAGTCATTTTGTCATTTGTGCAAATATTTGGCCAACGTTTGTTGTTTGTTCCCGACGGATTGGGTCGGGTGTCTGTGCTCTGGGCACTGGCTGCGATCGGTCAGCCCCATATCAGCGGCATATCGTTGTTGTTTCGCTTTTTTATAGGCCTGTTAGCCACTAGACCCGAAGTAAATGTCTTGCTTGCCTCATGTTATTTTTTGTAAATCCTTTCAACGTGTCGTCGAAATGTCGGAAATGTTAAAATATTTGCACAGCCTGCCGGCAAACGGTTATGGCCATTGCCATGCCCAACATACAAACGGAAGTCGTGTGCCGTACACACACACACACACAAACACACACACTCTTCACTTGACAGCCGTCAACATGCATTCCAGCGCTTCAGCCGGCGCGGCGCGTCTATGTTCAGCATTTACGTGGGATTTGCTAGGTATTGGGCGTGCGTGCGTTGCGGCCCGAACGCATCGTATGCCCAACTTCTGTGATATGTCTTGCACAAATATTGATATAAGTATTTCATACTGCTATAACATATAGGACAGACAGCCGGACGGACAATCGGCTGCTTAAGTGTCACTGTTATTGTTTGTCCAGGCAAGTGATTGCTGTTTTCCAACAGCCCCTACCCTAAAACCTTTATGGACTCTCTGGTCTCCGTACTGTCTCTGCCAGCAACAGTTACCAAATGGATTAGCCAAGCGTTCCATGCCCCAGCAGCAGCAGCTGCTGACCATGTGCCATGTATAGCTATATGCAGAGAGAGAAAAAATTGGCCAAGAACTTCGCTGCTATGATAGAATGTTTCGCAGATTTTCAAAGTTTATTTACTTGATTTTGGACAGTTGAGAGTAGACAAAACAATATATTTTCATTATTAGCCTTTGATTTGTATGATGTGTTTAAATTTTCTAGCTCTTCGAGTTAAGAGCTATAATTTAATAAAAGTAAAAGTATATTATTTCTGTCAACTCTGGCAACTGTTTCTTTCAGTGCACGCGCGCGCGTTATATAAATCGGCCGCTTGTTGCGGGGTCAGCTGCATATGCAAGCACTTTAACACTTTCGCTTTTGACGGCGCACAAATGGAGCTGTATGTGCATATATGTATATATATAGACGTGTGTGTGTGTGTGTGAGTGTGTGTGTGTTAGCCAACCGCAAAACTGGGCTTAGCTTTGCATTGCCAACATCTTTGCACTGAGCTCGCGTGCAGTCCATTAAATGAAACTTACTTCATATTGTTAGGCCGCTGTGCCGCGTGTCCTGCCCTTGCGCAGTGTTTCTTTGTGTTTGTGTAGTAAATTAAATGATTTTTCACGCCAGCTATGGCCAGGACCACAACAGCAGGCCAGGCGCGGCCTCGTCCAGACCAGACCAGACCAGACCAGTCCAGACCCGACCCGACCCGACCAGACCACGCCATGCGGTGCGTCCACAACATTTTTATGTGTTTGTTTGCGGCAACAGGAGCCTGTGGCACAGGACTCCAGTCCGGCAGCCCGGCTGCCTTTTTGGCAATGTTTTAACGTTAATTCATGGTCGTATTTTTATGTTGCACTCGTTGCGCGACGATGCCACGTCGCCTTTATTGGCCCAACGGCAGCGCTAAAGTGTTTACTAAATAAGCAGATTTCTTTTGTCTCTGCCACCGGTTGGAGGCGTGCGGCCGGCTGTCGAGTCGCTGTTCGCAGGTCGCGCTAATGGAATGGCTTTTGTATGGCTTACCTGGCAGCCATCGGGTGGGTGACTTATTTAATTAAATCAGTTGCGGCTTTAAAGCACCCTCTAAGGCCCTAAGCTGCCTAAGTAGGCAATGCCAGCCCCAGCATCATGATGGCCTCCATTGTTGTTAGTCTAACGACAGCCACAAAGCCAGCGTGAACAAGCCCCAAAATGCGAAGAGAACCAGAAACAAATACCAAAAATACGAGACTGCTCATAAAACTTGCAAATTGCGACCGCACATTGATGAAATGTAAACCGCAATGTCACAAGAAAACAGAACCGAATCTCGAACCCAGGTTCAAACTCAAACTCAAATGAAATTGGGACACGGCTGCGGACACATGCTCGTATCGTAGATATCATAAAAAAGTGCAACTTGCAACAGTTGCTGTTGCCGTCGAATGCGAGTGAGTGACAACAGACACCAAGCGACATGAAAAACTTGCCCAAAAGATACAACGTGGCATCAAAAATGCGCCGGAGGGCAAACAACATTGTTCGGGATACAGCGGAATGTGTGCGTGTCGTGACACGACAATGAAGCTTACTAAAACTAAATTTAATCACAATAATCCCTATATATATAATATAATATATTATTGTCCTGATTGACCGACTGACTGATTGATGATCAACACATATCCCAAGCTGTAGGAACTAGAAAGCCCAAGAAAGCAAATGAGGAAAATTGCCGGAAAATGGAATGAAATGAAATGAATGGAAAATCCATTGAATACTTATTGGGCGGGGATTGGGTATATAAAAAAATTCAGGATAGTATAGTATAAAACAATAAATATGTACAACAGAAAATAAAATTTCTTATGGGCGGGAAAGGAATTGAAGAGAATAACTTATAGATATATATAAATTATAATATATGTTTTTAATAATATTACAATATGGTACAATACATACAATTTCTCTCTTCTGAAAGTAAATATTCCTCTATCTGCTCGAAATTTTTGAGAATTATGTTTATTTTTATAATTTTTAGCATATCAAAAGGAATTATTAGATCTCTGCATGTTTATATGTGACATAAATAGTCCGATATGATTTAATTTGTTCGTAATAATACATAAACACACATAATATGCGCAATCAAGAAAAATTTATATAAATTAGTCTTATATAAATTGCATTGGCATATAGCTTTTATAGTTAGAGCACGAGTCCATCTCTAAAACTTCGCCAGGCTTTAGGTTGGCCGTCTGACAATGGGTTGCCAGCGAGTGGGCGGGCGTGGCAATAACTTAACGATCCCCAACTAGAAGAGGTGCAAGTGCGAAACAGGTTGCCAAACCAGGCATGGCCAAGAGCTGTTGTGCTTGGTAGTAGGAGGAGGCGGAGGTGGATGAGAAGGCAGAGGTGGAGGCGGAGGCTAAAATAAATCTTGCACAATAAGTTTTGGTGAACGGCGGAGGCGTTGGTGTCAAAACGCTCAAAGCGAGCAGCGACAACAGCAACAGCAACAACAACAACAGCAACAAAAACAACAACAGCAACAACAGCAACAGAAAGTGGAACAACAGTAACGCAAATGACACGAGCCAAGAGAGTGGCAGGGGCAGCGTCGACAGGCGGCTGCTGCCTGGTAAAAATAGCCTTATCAGTTCCTGTTTCCTGTCGAAAGTTTTCATATTTTTGCGCGTGGATGCAGCAGCAGCAGCAGCAACAGCAGCAGCAGCAGCAGCGGCAACAACAATGGCAAAAGTAAACAGCGGGCGAAGCAACACACGGAAAGTGTTGCCACATTTTCTTCTTTTTCTTTTTTTTATACATTGAGTTTTTAGCTGCCGCTACTGCTGCTGCCATTTGATTTTGCATGCCCCCGCGCGCTGTTGGGGCATAACAGTAACCACAATAAAAAGCAGGAAATATTTAAACATTTTTCTTTTAGTTTTGCATGAAACGGCAGCGACGCCGACTGCGGCGCGCAACCATTTTCACACTTATTGTCAGATTTTGCTTTGTGTTTTGCCTTCGCTGCCGCTGCCACCGCTGCTGCCGCCGTCGCCACTGTCGCTGCTGCCGTTGTGTCGTTTTGCTGTGAAATGACGCACAGCCGAGATAACACGTCGCACTGGAAAAAGCTGCAACAATTTTTATGTTGCAGCTGTAAATGTGGTCGCCAGACACCCAAGCCCCATGCCAAGGACCCACACGGCCAAACATCACCAGCCCTGCCACCAGCCTTGCCACCAGCCCTGCCACCAGCCATGCCGCATATGTTGCGCATATGCCTGCCAAACGCTCAATTTGTTTTGCCTTTTGTATGTGTGTGTACGTGCGTGTGTGTGTGTGTTGATGGCATTCTTAAATTTACAGGATATGTGCGTAATTTTGCAAACGGACAATGCGCCTGTCACACTCACTTAATGCCGCCCAGCCCTGTTCCTGCCACCTCGATACATTCAGCCAGCTTTAGGTTGGACGCACAGGTACTGAGCACGTGAGCATATGGCGAGTATGCATTATATTATATAAATATTGTTATTCATTTTCTTTTCATTTTTTACCCTATATCTAAAATATAAGAAGACAACTTCGCAACAATTCCTTTACAGCAACCTATTACTGACATTATGTTTTCATGTGTATAAATAATGTATTATTTGGCTAAAAAGTATTTACATAAAATGTATTTGATTTCAAGCCATTTTTCCCAGCAAAGCTGTAAAGCCCTTCAATTACATTCATATATATTTTAATTGATTTTATTTATATATTTCTTTTTAAAATATATTTCTTATATTTTTTTAAAATTATTTCTTAATTCATTAATGCTTTTTGATCGATTTGTGTATTTATTAATTTGTTACTCATAATTTGTTGACTACTCGTTTAAGTTAGTTCAGTAAGAAGCTTATCACAACCCCTTGTCAGCCGGACATACGTGGGCCGTGTAGCCTAATGGATAGGGCGTCGGACTTCGGATCCGGAGATTGCGGGTTCGAGTCCCGTCATGGTCACATGTCAACTAGATTTTTTTATTATTTATTTTTAATTTAATTGTTTGGCAAGTAACAAGTTTGCTTAACATTTTTTTTGTTTATTATTATTATGATTATTTTTTTTAAATTCGGAGTGCACGATATTTTTTAAACCAATTTATTAGCTACGTTTGCACAATGTATATGTATATCACATATATAAATATTATGCCTATTATATCCACTTATATGTGTAGGCCAGCATTATTTAATTATAATATTATAGTAATATTATAAATAACAGGGTTTGAGCTGTCGTTTCTTCTATACATACATATACACAGAAAATCACACACACCCACACAGAAGCACAGACAAGCAAAGTTTGATCTTTGATCTGTAAATGCCATAGCACAAACCATTAGCTTAAAGAATCAGAATCTGCGAGCTATGCGCAAATAATATACATTATGTAGTACATTCTATGGTATATATGTATATGGTGTATTTCCGAAGTTACGTATGTTTGTATGTGTATATGCACGTATATGTGTGTATATGTATGTATGTATGTGTGTAGGTATGTATGCATGTATGTATGTATGTATGTATGTATGTATATATGTATGTATGTATGTATGTATTTATGTATGTCTGTATGTATGTATGTATGTATTTATGCATGTATGTATGACTTTATGTATGTATGTATGTATGTATTTAATTATGTATGTATGTATGTATGTATGTATGTATGTATGTATGTATGTATGTATGTATGTATGTATGTATGTATGTATGTATGTAAGAATATATGTATGTATGCATGTATGTATGTATTTATGTATCTATCTATCTATGCATGTACGAAGTTTTGTTTTTATGTAGGTGTAAGTATGTCTATATGTGTGTATGTATGTATATGCGTGTGTATGTATGTCAGTCTGTATATATGTATGAATGTATGAATGTATGTATGTATGAATGCATGAATGTATGCGTGCATATATGCTCTGCAAATAAAAAGTAACGTATTTATTATCAATGCCCTACTACTCGATTCTCATGATTTGAAGTAAGTCTCATAGGCTTCACTTCACATTAGAGGAGACGGCAGCTTAAACATAGGAGGAGACGACAGCTTCAATTTTGTAGAAGGCGGCAATTTAATCAAAGGAGAAGGCGGCGGCTATGGTGGAGGTCAGAAAACTGGTAATTATTATTAACAAAACTATGTCTTATTGAATTTAAAAGCATGGTAAAGTTTGAATATATTTGAAAAAATGTACATGTATGTATGTTATTGAATATGTTTATACTTATGTTGAGCAGAGTTAAAAGTGAACAAGAAACGTATTTATAAATTTATTTGACTACATACATGCATGTATTTTGAACTGAGCTGAATATAAATAAGAAACAGATTGATAAATATTGTTCTTTTATGCCTTTCTCACTAATTTAAGTATAGCTTAGCAAGCTGTGTTTTTTTAAATTAATATACATTGTCTCTATTTTTCTGCTCTTTCAGCGATGTTTTTATATAAAAGTTGGCCTCCCGTCTACTGACAGACGACGATAAAATAATCGGGCGTGTGGATTAACAGGTGAGTAGAATTTTCTAATTATATATTTAACTTCTTATGGCTGACTGATAAGTGGTCAACGCATAGATTAAGCCTTAAGAGCTACGGATCTGAAATTTTTTTTTTACTAAGTATGTTAACCTTATGTGATAAAAGTGCATGCATACCATCCAATCAGACTCAAACTGATATTCCAAAATATTTGTTCAAATGCATTTGAGGGGTGCTTCACACTTTTCAGAGAATCCACCCATATTGGATAACAAATTAGCATGGAGCTTAATATAGAAGGGGTAGATTAAAGTTGTTTACGGGTGGGGAATGGGTGGAAATGTTAAATCTTAAATTTGAGGCACAAAACAATCCACGGGCAAGGCCGATACCCGAATACCCGCTTCTGCATATATATTTTTATAGTTCTGACTGAAATTTGTATTTCCTTTCAGTGCAAAATTATATTTAAATGCAGACGTAATAATGCATATTATAAAATTGTGTTCCTAATGTTGGCATCTATATCAGCCAACAGTCCGATAAAATAATATATATTCTTTGTAATATATATGGTTTTTTGGGGCTATGTCAGCGAGAAGTTTTGTGTTTGGGCGACGGCACGTATTGTCTGAAAGTAATTGTGGCAATATGTACTCGCAGTTATTGATATATGTGTGCATGCATGTGCCTATGAGAGTTTTTGACAATAAGTTTCAATTTCTAGCATGTGTGTGTGGGTGTCTGGGTGTGTGGGTGCGTGCATGTGGGTGTGTGTGCGTATCTGTCTGTTTTGGTTGTGTATGTACGAGTAATACGAGTAACACTTATCAAAAGTTTGTTGCTAACACATGCAAATTGAAATGTGTGACTACACACGGCAGCACACCCACGCACACGCACACGGACACTCACACACATACATACACATGTCGGCGGCACATTGTTGCCAGCAGTTTGGCACACGTACTGAGTACATGAGTCTGGCGCACACGTGCACATAAACACACCCAAACTCCCAGCCTCACCTGCTGTAGCAGCACCTGCAGTAGCAGTAGCAGTAGCTGCCGCTGCTACTGCGACTGCGGCTGTAACTGTGCCTGGGCTGGGCTGGGTTGGGTTATGGCTGGTGTGCTCGTCTTCGAGTACATGGCCTCTAACTTCCGCCTGTTTTAACACCTAACAACCAAGAAACCAACAACTTGCGCTGCCGCTGCTGCCGCTACTACTGCATACTTATTATAGCTGCAGCATGTGTCTCTTTGTTGTTGCTGCTGCTGCTGCTGGCAACACTTTTCCAAAATCCAAAATTCACCCACAAGCCTTGGGTGTGCGTGCTTGTGTGTGCGTGTGTGTGTGTGTGTGAACGTGTGCGGATTTCAACATGAGTTTTAGAAACAAAAGTTTTTGATTTCTTTGTTCTGCTCGTCGCTTGTTGTTTTTGTTTTTGTTTTTGATTTTTTTTTTTTAATGTTGGTGTGTTTTTTATTTTTCATTTTTGGTTCTTTTGTCACAGCAACTTTTTATTGGAGCAGCATATGCGTTGTTGTCAGCTGCAGCCCCCGACTTCCCCACTCGTCTATACCTTTTGTAGCAGGCATAATTGCAGCTTTTGGAGCTGTCAAAGTTTTGCATATGCACTTTGATTTCTTTAGACAAAACTAAAAAAAAAAAGGCAAGCAAGAATAGCCTGGTCGGGAGTGTCCGACTAGAAGATACTCAGTACTAAGCACCGAGCTACTGCCACAAACTTTCGAACTTTCTTCTACACATAGGCAAAAACACAAGCACATAAAGACACACACACACATAGTTGCATACGCATCTCGTTATGCTGCGGCTGTGCTTCTTCTGCCCCTGGCCCCACCCTTTGGATTATGCATTCTTGAATAACTTTGGTGCTTATTGTCCAATTCTTTGCAACTTTTTAGGGCATAAATGTGATACTTAAAGGTGTCTATAGTCTCTAGTCCATATACCAAATTTGGCATCTTTAGCTCTACCAAACCCATTATCAAATTTCAATTCAATATTGCAGTTTTCGATATTTCGATTCTATTTTAAAAAAAACACCGATCTCACGTACCGCTTAAGTACAAGTTTAAGCCATCCTAAAGAAATCTTCAGAGTATTGCCAAAAGCTAAGGCAAATAAAGCAATTAAATAGAAATTGTTATTACTTAATATTAATATTACTTAATGTATATAGTTATAGTTAGCTTAACTTCCAAACTTAAATTCTGGGAAGGACTGTGCGAGTTTGATCAACAAGCAAAGCGTGCTGTGGCTAACATTACAGCAGCTACTCCCAATTGCTGCTCATAACAAGATTCATCCAAGTACTACCTGGCTCTTGACACTTCAGTTTTACCCGAACGAGCATTTTCAGCTATCGATTGTTAAAAAATCGATTTCGGGGAAACGAAGCGATTTATCGACTTTTAACAATAGATTTAATATGCAATTTAGATCGATTTTAGAAGGAATTGAATCGATTAATTCCAAGTATATGATGTCCGATTATTTAAACAGATTTCCTGGAAACAAAGCGGGTAGTCGATTATTTAATTTGAACTACGAATTTTATCGATTTTGTGGCAAAAGTGCGAGCTATCGACAATTTAAATCAAATTTGATCTGCACAGGCAATAGATGGATGTACAATCTTTCTGTTTGAGCGTCGGATATGCCCTGTTCAGGCTGTTACATACCATAATATCCTTTCTTTTGAACTATCTTAAATGGGTTCAGGGTATGAACAAAATAAAAATAAAAAACCGAAAACAACAGGCAGCTGCAATTGCATTTAGGCAAACTTGTGTTGCCGGGAAAAAACCGCCATAATTGCATAATTACAAGTGGGTGTGGCATTGAGGCCGTGAGGTAGGGATGTAGGGATGTAGGGAGGCTGCAAAACTTGCTCCATTTCTAATTGAGTTACATTTATTGCCAAAATGCTCAGCTTGCGACTGGCTACCCGCCGCATGCCGCGTGCCGGCTGCCTATGCCAATGATTTTTGGCACCAAGATGGGGGCCGCGACTAGTTATATTTGTAATTTAATATGACTGACAACACTCGCTGTTCGCTGACAAGTTTAATACCTCGACGTGGCCCGCACAGCTCACTTGCCCTGCCCCGAGCCCCCTTCGCGTCTATTCGTCTATTGGATAATTAAGCCACTTGGCGACAGGTTTGACAGCCTTACTTTGAATTGTCAGCTCCCGGTTCGGATGCAGACGTTGATGCGGCTTCTCCTGCCGCTTCGCCTGCTTCTGCTCTTGCTTCTGCTGCTGTTTCTGGTGCTGCTTCTGCTGCTACTGTGTGGCATTTGTGGCTCACGTCGTGGCGGTGTGCGCTCAATTTCATTTTGAGACGAGCTGAGATTTTGCGATTGGGCCATGCGACATGTTTTTGGCTCTTGGCCTTGTCTCTCGACGGCGACTCGCTGACAAAAGTTGAAGTTCAATTAAATTTTCAGTTTTGTTGCTTTTGTTATTTTTATCATTTGTAGTTTGATCGGTTGCCGCTTGGAGAGCATTATCTGTGGGGACATTGAGAAATTGAAAATTATGACGCTCTCTCTTTCCTACGCTCTCTCTCTCTCTGTCTGCCTTGCTGTCTCCTTCGCTTTCGGCGTGTTTCTCCAGCGCTGATTGCAAAATGCAATTCGCATTAAAAACTTTCAGTTGGCCCAAGTTGCGGGCGAAAAGTTTTTGGCATTCGGTTGCATGATTGACGCTTTTGGACTGGACTGGACTGGACTGGACAATTGCAGTTGCAGCTGCAGTTTAATCTATGGCAGCTGGACATTTGGGGTTTTGGGTGGGCTGGCTAAGGGGGATCAGTGTGTGTCCTGCATCAGGTTCAGGCCATACAGTTGTGGCAGTTAATCAAACAGTAAATGGCAGGCTTTCATCTACAGTCGTACCTTGTGGCACGATGATTAGGCCGTGGCCATGGCCATTGTGGCCTGAGTTGCGTGATGAACCGACCGAAAGAAAAATGCGAAGCAACTGCCGAAGCGTTTGCCAGTTGCTGGGTGTCCCAAACCAGCAGCGGCGGCAGCAGCGGCAGCAGCAGGCGGCCTGTCGGCGCCCAACCGCGTCGCTGCTTGCCACAAACCCAAGCCGCCAAATGCCACCACAGCTTGTAGCAATTGTCGTACCATTTGTCAGAAGCACGCGTCGACACTCCTCCCTCGCGGCACGCTGCGCATGTGCCACGGGCCGCAGCGACCCGCCGTCGCACCGCTGCCATCCACGAGCAATGCGTTCCACCACGTGCCAGCCATGTGGATGCCATGCGGCACATGGTGGATTCCATTCGTTTCGAAAATCCACTTCGACAATTGGCAACGACAATTCGGCGCTCGTTCGTTCGGCATTGCCGCTCGGCTCAGCGCCAGCATCCAGCATCCAACGGCTGAGCAAACGACGGTCCACGACAAGTATTCGCCAATTTGCCGAATGGCCGTTCGGCTGCCGCTTCGGGATGCTGTCTAGATGCCGCCTGCCGTGGCTGCTGCCCATTCAGTTGATCGACAACGTTGCCAAAGGCTTGATGCTGCTGCACAGGCTCTGCTCGCAAATACGCACACAGTTCCACCTAAATTTCGCCAATTCGCGCGTGTTTTCGGTTTTGGGAATGCATTGAAAACGCATCTTTATCATTATCACAATTATCAACATATATATATATGTGTGTGTATTTTTTTTTTTAATTGTACTCGACTGTATTTTGTGTGCTAGTGTTGTAAAATGTTGTTGTGCTTTTTGGAGCACTCGAATTGCTTGAATTGTGTCAAATGAATTTGAAAATACTTTTGAAAATTGCAACGGAATACTAAAAAAATTAGAAAAAGCAATAATTAAAATTATATGAAATGCGCATCATTTCAAAACTGCAGCTTTATCGTTATTATCTGGTTATTATCGATCGCAATGATAAAATGCTGATCGTCGTGCTGTTGATAGTGGCGCTTATCGAAGGTAATCAGAAACAAATCCTCGAATATTTTTGGATACATTTTTTTTTTTTTGTATTCATCTCAAACATGCTTATCAAAATGTCACCAGCAAAGTGAAATGTTTGACTATTAAATTTTAATTTTAAGGCCTTTTTTTTAACACTAATTATATGATACTTTTCGCTTACTTTTATGCCCCGGTAGGGGGTATACTCAATTTGTCATGGAATGTGTAACGATTAGAAGAAAACGTCTCTGACTTCTTATATACTCATATAGAGGATATTATAATCTTGTCATTAAATGTGTCCCGCATAAAAGGAGCGCTCACCGACCCCATATAGAATTAATACTCTAGAACAGCATCAACAGCCGACTTGATATAGCCATCTAGGGTGGTCTGTTTCTTTCCAAATTATTATTATTATTTTTTGGGTTTTTTAAACCAATTCACTGCAAATGGTCTTGGTTCTTATTTATATTTTTATATTTTTTTTATAATATATCAAAAATAACAAAGCATTTTTTTTGGACGAATGTACGCATTATGTCAATATATTCATAAATTTCGGGATTGAAAAAATATGCACACATTTATACATATGTATGTCAAAAAAACTATAAAAACATGTTTTAATACATTTGGAGGTCAACATCTTGCATTATTTTGTAGCATACTCTCAGGTTGTATTGAAGGTCTATCTATTAAAAATTGGCATTCATTAGTCCCAGATATATGTCCGAGTAGTATATAAATATATCTAGCTGGACTGGAAAACCACTTTATAAGAGACAGCGTTTAATATTTACTGTAAATTTTATAAGTGTCGAAAAGCTTCGATCAAGATTTGAGGTGGCAAGTGCTTGACTAAAAGTAAAAGCAAAACAAACAGGAGATCGTTTTTGGTTTCTTTGCATACAACACAATAAGAATGCAATACGAGCTTGATTCGAGACTGTTTGAGCCCGGAATTGCAATTTATGTTCTTAAATAAACCAAATCCTTAACATTTGCACAAAAAAACAGCCAAAACAAGAACTGAACCGAATCATGTAGGCCCTGGAATTATTTAATTACAATAATAAAAATGTGTGTCCACGACCTGGCTAGGGAATTCGTTCAAGCCGTCAGACCAACTGCCAAGAAGAAGGCTTGCAGTACAAGATTTTTTCAATATAATTAATGAAAAAAAAAACCAACATGATATTCATCAAAAGAATGTGTAAAAAAAATACCAGCAATTAAGGAAATAATATAAATTGTGGAGTCAAAAGAATAATGCCAGCCGACAAAGTTATTGGAAATTAACTTCTGAACCTCATTCAATTAACTTGTGTATGACATTGTTTGCTCATTAACCAACCTACAATGGTCAAACAGTGGATTACTGTCAACAAATTGCATTTTATTAATTTAATTATTACATTTGGAATTTTGTAATATTCCTTGTTAAATTTATTGAATATTTATTGGGCATAACACACAAAAAGGCAAAGCTGCAAGTTTTATTAAAATTTTTTAAATAAATGTACTAAAAAGAAGCTGATATTTTAACCAAGATCTCCCTTGCGCCGAGACGGGGCTTGGAAAGATTTGACATGCAAGGGAGGGAATCAGATAGAAATTAATTTTAATTTTTCAAAAGTCCAAGTATGATAATATTAATTGAAATACACAAAAAATGACAAAGGAAACAGAGTTGCTTAAATAATTTTAATGCCACTTGCATTTTCAGTATTATTTATTTGAGCAGACTTGCCGCCGGGTTATTTCCTTTAGTTAACGCAGCAAGTAAACAAAACTGTTTGCTGCAGTCGAGTTTTAAAAGAGTCGACGGGTTAATGTGCTGGGTTTGGCAAATGACGGGCGACTGAGTGTTAAATGCAGTCTCATTGTCCAGTTGGGGTAGGGCTTCGGAATCGTTGCTATTGGCACTCACAACAATATAAATAACATATAAACAAATAAATTAATAAATAAAATAAGTGAATGGCAAAAACAGAAATCATCGGTAAACAAAGACAACAGAGAATATCAACGCCAGTTTTATTGATTGGAATCCAAAGTCTGTCGGTCCGGAGGCTGTTATTGAAGGGCAATCCGATATAGTTTTTTTTTTTATTTAATTGCGCAAAAATTATTTTTCCATTTTCAATCTGATTGTTAATAATGCCCCAAGCTGCGCTTTCCGCTGCTAAGTAATTTTAACAAATGGAGTCAACAATGCTGTCAATTGACTTTTTAATTCCGAGAACCTTTAATGTATAACTTAAAGCCGACACTTATTGCCTGGTTATATGTTAAAGATGCATATGCATTAATCAACTATTATATTTACTTTCATATCTAATTTTTCATAAATAATTTTTTTTTTTTTTGCTGTATAATTTATTGAGCTAAGTTTAGCTATTGAATTTTCTTTATTCGGGAAATTGTACAATAAACTAATTTTAATTATTGTTTTCGATATATTCTTTTAATTGCATTTTATTCATTCGAATATTATATTACATCATACTATCCTACTCAATTACAACTTTAACTAATTAGTTATTTAATAAGTTTTTAGCTTTAGTTTAATAGCTAAAAATTATTGTGAAATTAATATGTGCAGCGAATACGAATCATTACGCTTGTGACTTCATAAGTTCAATTTGCGTTTTCTGATTAAAAGTGCAACCTTTGATGAGGTCTGCGATCTCATACGGTATATCTTTATATAAATTTTAGCCGGGATCTGTGATAACAGCTGAGCTATTGTCCGGCTTTTCATATTGCTGTTTCAATGCAAATAAGTCTCTCTTTTGTATGTCTGACGTCATGAATCTTTGCCATAGAAATGTTCGATCAAAAATCATGATATTGTATAAGATTTTCAAAATATCTTGATCGCAACCAGCTTGACTATAGCTTAACTCATGTATAAGCAACATCGTTTCATTAACGGATTAACGTATCTCAGTCGAAAAATTTAATTTTGTATGGCAAAGTTTTTTGTTTTCCAACATGTTTCCAAGCACAGCAATTATGGACTTCACAATGCTCTTCGCCAATCTGCAAAAAAGAATGTCATATATCTGCAAGAATGTCATATGTTTAGCGTGCTAAAAACAGATATTTTTTTAATTCGCTACTAAAGTTTATTTGTAGTAAAAATCAAGACATGCTTAGTTAAAAGGTAGTTCCCTTGAAACTAACAACATTGTTTTTGTTCTTAAATCATAAAGTCAATCATATATTGAAAAATTAAGTTGTAAAGTAAATAAAATAATCAGGCCGATGTTAATGCTTAATTTAATTGCTTAAGTTATGCATATATATTTTTTTTTTACATTTTGTATTCTTTTTTTCATAACATTAAACATTTTAGGACTCGTGCTGCTGAAATAAATGTATATTGAACTGGATAGTTTGAGTATTATAACTATTTTTTTTTAATATTATATTATTAATTCTAGAATTATTTTTATTTTAAAGGGGAAATTCCACTTAAAATGAAAGGAACATAAACAATTCTGCGCGGCTTTATATATGAGTTTTTGATTAATTGAATGGAAATACCTATCTTCTTTTCCAAGTTAATTACATAATTTTTAAAGAATTTTTATTGGCAACGTTTGATAAATGTTCCCAATATAGCGTGTCACAGTAAATTAATGTGGGAATTAAATATTTGAAATTAACGTTATTTTCACGAGCTACTCAACAAGCGACTATTAAATGCCTGCGCATTGTAATCAACCCTTTAATCATGTTCAATTAACTGCTCTTTTAGATAAAAATTAAAAAAAAAAAATGAAAGCGAAAAGTATATGTATCTGAATAATTGGCAGATGAACAACGGCATAATATGCATTGGCCAGTGCATAAATTTGTATGCATGTATGTGTGAATATATATATATATAGTGACATATCCATAGTCGCACCCACCCTTTAACATAACTTAGCACATAAGCATAAGCACAATTATAAACATTTCTAATATTGTAAACAAAGAGCCTGGTGATAACATCGACATTGGTCAAGATCAAACTGTCCCCCTTTGGTAGACATAAACAATTCACCCTAAATATCACGCCACTGTCAATGTTCCCATCAGAGTACTATCCCACGCATAATTGCTGACGCAGCTCAAACTTCACTCAATTTTGACTCAAACTCTCTCAAAGCGAAGTTTGCTAAGCGACCGCAACAGTTAGATAAATCAGTTCATATTCGGGAAGCAAATCTGAATGTACTCAACAAAAGTAGCCGTTAAGTGAAAATAATAAATTGAAATATATTTTTTTATAGTAACCTAACGTGCAAAACTTAATTGGCGCAGCCGGTAGGATACGTCGGGAAAAAGTTAAGATCGCTAAAGGATAATTAATTCCCAGATCTAACGCACAATCGCGACCGAAAGTGTTGTCGGAGTGTAATAAAAATTTTCTCGAATACGTATCCGCACAAGAACCTTCGGGTCACTAGTAGCTTAATAATATTGACCCTTTGGGCAATAAAGCTACTACAGTTAATAACGACTGGATTTGCATATCGTTTGATCCCTGCAATACGTTATTACTGAGTCTTTTTAAGACACACACACAAAAAAAAAAAAAAAGAAACATTTAACCAATAATCCATCACAAACTTTAACCTAAAATAAAAGTGCAAAATCAAAGAACAATAAAGTTCAAACCTACAAACTCAAAACTATTCAAAAAAAAAGTGTATTACACCAAGATGACAATGGAATTATCAGAACAACACCTCAACCAGGCCCTTTCACAACTTAGACAGGTGCCAAGCTTTGACGGATCAACGGATCAACTAAACGCCTTCATTAAAAGGATAGATTACATCCTACACCTGTATCCAACCCGAGATGTTAGACAACATAGCATCTTATACGGAGCCATCGAATTGCAAGTCACAGGAGATGCTCAGAGAATATCACAAAGGACAGCAGCCAACACTTGGCAGGAGCTGAGAAACGCATTGATTGAAGAATACAAAGTGCAGACACCATTTGAAGAA